GTCTAGTGGTCCTGATGATATTCATCCTCGGATTGTGAAAGCCCTCTCAGATGTTATTGCTGAACCCTTAGCGATGCTGTTCGATATGTCCCTACGGCAGTCCAGATTGCCCAGAGACTGGAAGGACGCAATAATCAGTCCGGTGTATAAGACTGGGGGTAGGGATTTAGTTAGTAACTATCGACCCGTCAGCTTAACTAGTGCAGTTGTAAAACTAATGGAAAAAATTATTAGGATGGCTGTTATAAACTACGTGGAAAGACATGATCTTTTGTCAAAGGAACAACATGGTTTTCGAAAAGGTCTATCATGTTTGACAAATCTTCTAATTGCAAGAGAAGATTGGGCTGAGGCAAAAGATCGCAATATTCCTGTAGATGTCATTTTCATAGATCTAAGTAAAGCCTTTGATAAGGTCTCCCATTCTGGTCTTAAATTAAAACTGGAATGTTTTGTAATTCATTATGCAGTCATAGACTGGATAAGTGACTTTCTTAATGGAAGGAGACAAAGGGTAAGAGTAAATGGGGCTCTCTCATCGTGGGAACTAGTAAAAAGTGGAGTCCCCCAAGGCACGATTTTAGGTCCTCTTCTTTTATTACTTTATATAAATGAATTACCAGCTATAGCTAAGTCATCTGTCCTACTATTAGCCGATGACATTAAGATTTGGAGACCCATATATAGCATGTCAGACAGAATAGTTTTAAAGGAAGATCTTAACTCATTAGTTGCATGGATGAATGGGTGGTCACTAGAAGTAAACCCTAATAAAAGTGTAGTGATGCAATTAAATAAATACGATGATTCGTATCACTACACAACATGTGGACTAGTGTTGCCCAAAGTAAGAAACTATAAAGATTTAGGAGTCATACTAAGTAATGATATCAAAACAACCAGTCACTGTAAGGCTGCTGCTGCAAAAGGCTATAGGGTATTATGGTCTATTCGTAGATCTTTCCGGTATCTGGATGGGGAAATGTTTAGATTATTATACCCAACATTCGTACGGCCACATTTAAAATATGGGATTCAAGCAGCGAGTCCTTGTTTCAAATATGAGGTGGATATGTTGGAACGAGTCCAACGCCGCGGGACAAAAATGGTAAAAGGCTTATCTAGCCTATCTTATGAAGACAGACTGAGACACCTCAACTTATTTCCGTTATCTTACCGGCGAATACGGGGTGATCTAATATTGGCATATCGTATCCTGAACGATGACCTTGGTACTAACATGTCCTATCTTTTCCTCCCGTCTACGGCTGATCATTTGAGAGGACATTCAAAGAAAGTCCAAAAACCGAGATCAAATCGTCTACGTCTGGAGTTTCGTTTCTCGCACGGAGTAGTGAATTACTGGAATTCTCTACCAGAACACGTAATATCAGCACCTTCTTCAGTAGTAAGGATAGTAGGTTGATGAACCTGTGTTAATCCTGACAGATTTCCTTCCAGTGAAGGTCCAGCTTCTTTTTGAAAATGTTCACTGATGGTGCTGATACCACTTGTTCTGATAAAGCGTTCCATTCATTGACCACTCGATGAGAAAAACGGGACCCCACCTTTAGTTTATTAGATCGCGGTTTCAGAACCTTCTTGCCATGACCCCGGAGATTATTAATGCTGGAGGGAGCAAAAAGATAAGACATATTAACACCCTGATCATAATTAAAGATACGAAATGCCAGTATAAGGTCACCTCGCGTCCTACGATAAGATAAGGGGAAAAGGTTTAGACGTTTTAAACGCTCGTCGTAAGGGAGTTTGGAAAGACCCTCTACTAATTTTATCCCTACACGCTGGACACGCTCAAGCGATTTGGTATCCTTTATCAGACAAGGGCTAGCTGCTTGGATACAGTATTCTAAGTGTGGCCTTACATAGGTGGGATATAAAATTCGAAACATATCCTCGTTGAAGCATTTAAATGCTCTGCGAAGCGACCATAGCACACGATAGCCTTTGGAAGCAACCGCATTGCAGTGTGTAGTAGTTTTTAAGTCGTGACTTATAATTACTCCTAAGTCTTTGTGCTCTTGAACGCGTGGAAGAGATGTACCATTAATGGTATAGTGGTAACTAATATCGTGCCCGATGTGCATGAACACGCTCTTCCAGGAATTAACTTCCAGGCCCCAATCATGAGCACACCTAACCAATTCGTCTAAATCTGCTTTCAGATAACAACGATCAATCTCATTTCTTATTGTTCTCCAGATTTTAACATCATCCGCAAACAATAACGTCGACGACTTAAGTAATAAAGGTAGTTCATTAATATACAGAAGGAAAAGTAAAGGGCCTAAGATGGTGCCTTGGGGTACACCACTTTTGACCGGTTTCCATTCGGATAGAGTTCCATTGACCCTTACTCTCTGTCTGCGGTCACATAAGAAGCTTCCTATCCATTCCTGTATAGCACCTGTTATTCCAAATCTCGAGAGCTTTTGCATAGGACCTAAGTGTGGAACCTTATCAAACGCTTTGCTAAAATCTATGAATATCACGTCGACAGACAGGCCGTTGTCTAGGGCAGCTGTCCAATTCTCTCTCGCAATGAGTAAGTTAGTTAATCGTGAATGCTTGTTACGAAACCCATGTTGCTTGGAAGTTAACAGATTGTACGAATCTATGTGACTCAGTAGCTTAGCCCGAATTAATTTTTCAAGTAACTTAACTACATTGCTGGTCAGGCTAACAGGCCGGTAGTTAGATACTATCCGTCTCTGACCATCCTTAAATATAGGACTAACTATGGCGTCTTTCCAGTCTCTAGGTAAAGGACATGTTGAAGAGCATCGTGAGCGGTCTTGAGATAATGTCTGCAAGCAATGACAGTAAACGTGGGTGTGACCCGTCGGAGCCCGGTATCTTACAAGGTTTTAGGTTAGTTATCAAAGGAAGAACAATATCCTCTGTCACGTTTAAAGGTCCCACGGCTGGTATCTCATTGTCAACGGGACAAGTAGTTGTAACGCTGCACGTAGAGTAGACTTCACTGAAATAGTTAGCAAATGTTTCCGCTTTCGCTAGATCAGATTCAGCCAATAAAGCTGAATTTTCGCTTAACAGTAATGAGGGGATACCATCACTACGTTTCGTCCGCCTTTTAACGTACGAAAACAGTCGCTTCGGACAGGTACGGCTATCGTATGCCAACTGTCGTTCGTAAGCCGTGCGGGATTTAGCTGTGGTCTTTTTACATGTATTCCGGATATTTTTATATTCACACTTAAATGATGCCTGACCTGTTGTTAAGAATAAGTCCCAGAAGTGTTTCCTGCTCTTCAACAGCTTCCGGGTTTCCTTATTAATCCATGGAGGGCAATATGATAGCTTACGTGCTGACCATGGGATAAACGGTTGAGTTACGGATTCGAACGTAAACTTAAACATATTCCATGCATCATCAATCGATCCATCAGCATTGACCGACCAGTCAACCGAGATAGCATAGCCCCTGATTGCCGGAATATTAGCTCTCCAGATATTAGGACGGGGTGGAGCAGATGCAAATTCTATACCATGTATCCGGAACTTAAAGGAAAGTACGACATGGTCACTATTCACCAGTGGGGGAAGGTGTTGAATGTCGACGATATCTTCACAGTGGTGTGTGAGGACAAGGTCTATCAATGACGGATTATGTTCCAAGTCTATATGCGTCGGCTTAACGATACATTGTACAAGTGCACATTGAATAATTGATGACAGAAGAACGCTATCGAAACCCCCACCTGGAGCTGTGAGCTCTATCCAGTTTATATGGGGTGCATTGAAGTCTCCAACGATGAGACAACATTCTGCTTTACTCTAAGAACAGACGTATCTTAGGATAAAGTCGTCAGCGAGACAACATGGACTACGATATATTCCTCCTATCTTCACTAACCCGTTTCTAGACCTAATTGTACAACATACTACCTCACACGTACCACTTACATGCGCCTCCGATATGATCGAGTTAATGCGGAAGTGGTCCCTAACATATAATATTATGCCTCCTCCCTCGCGGCTTCTGACTCTATCACTTCTGATACAGATGTAGCCTGAAATGATGGGAGAACAGTCTATATCTACAGTAAGCCAAGTTTCGGTGATAACCATTATATCCGGATTTAAGTCGTCTACCATCAAACTTAGCTCAGACATCTTATTCCGAAGACTACGGGCATCCGTGTAACACATATTTAAGGTGTTTTTGGAGACATACGTTCTACCCACACAGGTCTCGGAAGCATTGGCTTCCAAGACCTGACTACCCGAAAACCCTTAATCGTAAGGTTCGCTTCACCGTTTAGCTTCCGAGTTTTTGACTCTGTTAGGGCATTCTTCCACTTGATCCGATTGAGGATACGACGGATATTCTAGTTTTACAACTAGCAACCGGTAGTATCTTTTATAATCGATCGTTCCCGGTCAAAGGAAATCAGAAGTCATACGAGAAGAGATAGGAAAGATATATTTGATACGTTACCAACATATTGAGAGGCGTTCGTTATTAGCTGACTATGGAAACGTAGGAGCCGTCCCACTCCGAGTTGCAACGTGATCTGGTACGGATGCATGACCGAAAGCCTTCAGTTAAACAAGTCCACTTAAACAACGTGGTCAGCATCCAATGTCGAACACTTATTGAGCTATTGATTTTGGGGAATTATTTACAGCTACACGATCCTCAATATTTGAGTCACGAATTTTGTGTGCGTTATTCAGTACTACGTCCCTTTCCTCAAAATTACCGAGTACTAATTTAAGGATCCTTCTCTGTTGGGTTTCGCCTCCAACATATTTACCGAGTCTGATGACTTTCGAGATATGTACCCCTGGGACCTCATCGGGCAGTATATTTCTGATGAGAGATCCCACTAACTGCAGGTCGTGGGTATGTCTCTTAGAGGGATCGGTGTCTTTCGATTCTTCCAAGTTCCAGATGATTACACTAGGGACCCGTTTAACTTCCTTAAAAGTCATATTCACGGCTTTCGACCGTGATGTCAGATCCTGCCGGTTAGTTAATGGCTTCTTACTGTTAGCTTTCTTCATAACGGTGTCGTGTGGGTCGAGCGAGTGACTCACAAGAACATTTGGTGGAGTCAAACTGTTCCCATCCACAACAGTACTAAATATTTTCTTACATTTGGACTTGAGCGGAGTTGCCTGATGCGCAGGACGTGAGTCCAACAAAGACTTATCGACTATACGCGCGCTTTCTTTGGGTATTTTTCCGTCTCTTTTACGCTTCCGCGTAATCCATTTCCCACTAGTCTCAGCATCCATATTGGAACTACTCTGGATGATAGTGGTTCTAGCCGGGTCATCAGTCGCTGCTAAAGCAACTTGTCCCTCAGTACTTAATGGCGTGTCTTTAATTGATTGTATCGGAGTAGAAATTTTTGTTTCGTGTTGCCAAATTGGGTGTCTGGTACCTACCATGGCAGCATTTACGACACTGATACAATCTTCGTTATCAGTATCTATGTTGCCGGCACGGCCTACGTCGACCTTTTTAGCTAACGCTAGAAGGCTAATGGCTTCTTGAATGAGTAATGTCTTGCTTGAGCAACAAAACATACAGAGCCAATGAGAATTGGGTTTGGAACACCTTTTATAGGCAGTAGTGCTTAAGCGGGTGCACATTTTGTGAAACCACTTCTTACATTCGTCACATTGCATCCCTTCTTCCACGGGGAATAAGCAATATGGCTGTCCACACTTGTGTGCAGAGACGATCATCTTAGAATGAAGCAAAATGATAGGCAAGGTAGATATGTAAGACAAATCACAATCTTAATCAAATAATCAAGCCGCAGTTGACCAAGAATGCTTTGATGCAGTAAATACACAAAAGCAGGATCAAAACACACAAATACAATGTCACGTTAACTGAAATAAATTCAATTAAAGTGTAAACAGTAGTTTTGATACGCAATTTACGATCAAAACAGTGAACTTAACGAGAAACAATACCACTGTACTTTTAAAAAGCGCGCGTAGTTGTTTTGTTCAAGACGAGATTGGACCTCCACAGTGTAACAAACTGCAAGGATTAAAATAGGTCACTAGACCTCCTATCCTTATTACTGAAGACTGAAATGACCTCCTCTTGTCAGGTCGTTCAAGGTCGTTAAAACGAAACGCGGTTGCCTTTGAAAATCTCTGACTTTTTATACCGTGCCCTAAATGATGTTATGACATTTTAGCTGACGTAAGTTCGTGATGTAAACCCTAAATCTAATTATTACCATAATCACCAACTGTCAGTCATAATTCTAATTCTCGACACTGTTATATAACCTTCATTTAGTCCTAGTTTGTAGGTGCACCTACAAACGTCCATGGACGTTCTCGAGGTCACTTTGTAGTCTCACCGATAGAAATTATTCCAAGATGTATACAATTGGGTGACTAGATAAACGAAAAAGCAATTGTATACACTGACCACGATAAACACGAATGGTTCGACAACATTGAGTTTATACCCAGCTCCTCATAGTTCGGACTAGGAAAGTCTGGGTATTCCAGGTTGTCCTAATATTAAGCTTGTTATGCTGTTGATTGTTGTTTTTCGCTCTCCTTATTGAAGCTGAATGCATTTTATGCGCTAAGTCTTCGGTTTACTTCTCTTCTTTCCATTTTCAGTTTACCTCTCACACACGACTCTCTGCGCTCCTACAGTACCCAAAGTACTACCAGGCTAGACGTGAACAGATAAAATTGACCGATTGCGTCGATGGAAGTCACAAAACGCTTATGGCACCATATCCAGTGTTGCTTGAAAGCAACTAGTCTCAGGGTATGCACGTCAGCGAATTGTGTTACGAGGATGTTGGAAATTAAGGACATTGAATTGTGGGAATTGATACAAAAAGAAAAAAGTAGACAACGATCATCACTTGAATTAATTGCTTCGGAAGTATGTTCTCTGGTCCATCTGTATGCATTTTCAGAACTTTGTATCACAAAGTATTCTTGAATGCCTTGGCTCATGCCTAACAAACAAATATTCAGAAGGATATCCCTTTGCAAGGTATGTTTCTTGAAAAATAATTCTATAATTCTAATATCTAAAGCTCTCCAGCGACCTTGCGTTGGAAGTGTGTAGTGCTACGTAAGGTTAACTAAAAGCTTAATGAGACTTACCATTATTCACAATTGATTGATCACTGGGTGGTGATCAATCTCATGCGTGTCAGGTCCTTCTTAGTGCTGATCGAATGCTATCGATCGAGTTGCAATGTGACCACCAGTCTAGGTGGCTCGACACTGCTTGCACTATGTATATTGAGGTAAGATGTTGGTTGGAGGTGGTCAACAGGAAACCCTGGACCCGGGTTCCGTGCTACTTGGCACTCGTCAGCAAGGTGTACCTGTAATCCTGAGGGAACTGATGCTCCCTGGCGGATTCGATCTCGCGGCCCGAATAGCTCAGTGGTAACGTCTCTGACTGTGAAGCTGAGTGACGCGGGATCGGATCCGCCAGGGAGCATCGGTTCCCTCAGGATTACAGGTACACCTTGCTGACGAGTGCCGAGTAGCACGGAACCCGGGTCCAGGGTTTCCTGTTGACCACCTCCAACCACCATCTTACCTCAACTTATCATTATTCCCTCTACGTGTGGTCTGATAAGAATGTTCGGTAGGATTAAACTATACTGCCGAACCAATCAAAGCTTTTGCGGGTTTTCAAGGTCACGGCGCTAGGTTCGGTACCTGATGCTTACGTACGATCGCTTTACAGCGGATTTTAGGGAAGACGCGATAATTCAGCGTCTACAAGAGAAGTGATCATAAGATTTTGGCGCGAAATTCAATTGCTTATTTGGATAAATAGATTTTTGGCATTATAGCTGATGTCAGTTCGTGATGAAAACCCTAAGTATAATTCCTAGCCTTAACCATGAACTGTAAATCATAATTTGAATTCTTCTTACAGGTTTATAACCCTCATTTGGTCTTAGTTATTATTTGACACTCTCAGAGTCACTCTAGCGTCGCTCAAAGGTCATTCATAAATTATAGTCTCACCCTTAACTCGAAACCTTAACTCTAACCCTAAATCGTAAACCATACCAATATACTAACATTATTGAAGCTATGTGGTCGAGGCTAAAGGGATTTTTGAGACCTTATCATGGTTTCAGAGGTCGAATACTATGAAGCCATATGGATGTGATCCTTTACCGTATGCACCATAATTTTAGAACTTTTGAATCTATATCTGACCTTCAGAAGTTTTTGACTCATGTAAAAGAAGTGTTTTCACTTTAATTCTTTGGTTTTATATAATAAATTTTTACTGTATACAAACTGTCTTCTGATTGGATAATATTTCTCAAGGTCATTTAAGATTCGTTCAAAGATCGGCAGTATAGTTTAATCCTACCGAATGTTCACCTGATTTTGTTCAAGTCAAGCCAATAATTACAAAAAGCATTTGCTTATCTTTAAGTGAATGGTATTGGTTGTGGACACAAATTACTTGGTAAGTCTTCAGTCTTCAGTGATAAGGATAGGAGGTCTAGTGACCTATTTTAATCCTTGCAGTTTGTTACACTGTGGAGGTCCAATCTCGTCTTGAATATATCAACTGAAGGAGCTGATATTACGTGTTCTGGTAGAGAATTCCAGTAATTCACTACTCCGTGCGAGAAACGAAACTCCAGACGTAGACGATTTGATCTCGGTTTTTGGACTTTCTTTGAATGTCCTCTCAAATGATCAGCCGTAGACGGGAGGAAAAGATAGGACATGTTAGTACCAAGGTCATCGTTCAGGATACGATATGCCAATATTAGATCACCCCGTATTCGCCGGTAAGATAACGGAAATAAGTTGAGGTGTCTCAGTCTGTCTTCATAAGATAGGCTAGATAAGCCTTTTACCATTTTTGTCCCGCGGCGTTGGACTCGTTCCAACATATCCACCTCATATTTGAAACAAGGACTCGCTGCTTGAATCCCATATTTTAAATGTGGCCGTACGAATGTTGGGTATAATAATCTAAACATTTCCCCATCCAGATACCGGAAAGATCTACGAATAGACCATAATACCCTATAGCCTTTTGCAGCAGCAGCCTTACAGTGACTGGTTGTTTTGATATCATTACTTAGTATGACTCCTAAATCTTTATAGTTTCTTACTTTGGGCAACACTAGTCCACATGTTGTGTAGTGATACGAATCATCGTATTTATTTAATTGCATCACTACACTTTTATTAGGGTTTACTTCTAGTGACCACCCATTCATCCATGCAACTAATGAGTTAAGATCTTCCTTTAAAACTATTCTGTCTGACATGCTATATATGGGTCTCCAAATCTTAATGTCATCGGCTAATAGTAGGACAGATGACTTAGCTATAGCTGGTAATTCATTTATATAAAGTAATAAAAGAAGAGGACCTAAAATCGTGCCTTGGGGGACTCCACTTTTTACTAGTTCCCACGATGAGAGAGCCCCATTTACTCTTACCCTTTGTCTCCTTCCATTAAGAAAGTCACTTATCCAGTCTATGACTGCATAATGAATTACAAAACATTCCAGTTTTAATTTAAGACCAGAATGGGAGACCTTATCAAAGGCTTTACTTAGATCTATGAAAATGACATCTACAGGAATATTGCGATCTTTTGCCTCAGCCCAATCTTCTCTTGCAATTAGAAGATTTGTCAAACATGATAGACCTTTTCGAAAACCATGTTGTTCCTTTGACAAAAGATCATGTCTTTCCACGTAGTTTATAACAGCCATCCTAATAATTTTTTCCATTAGTTTTACAACTGCACTAGTTAAGCTGACGGGTCGATAGTTACTAACTAAATCCCTACCCCCAGTCTTATACACCGGACTGATTATTGCGTCCTTCCAGTCTCTGGGCAATCTGGACTGCCGTAGGGACATATCGAACAGCATCGCTAAGGGTTCAGCAATAACATCTGAGAGGGCTTTCACAATCCGAGGATGAATATCATCAGGACCACTAGACTTATCAGGTTTGAGATGCTGAAGTGGGCTTAAAACAGTTTCTTTCTTAATAACTACAGGGTCCATCAACAAGTCGCCACAATCACAATGAATAGGTGATCGTTCTTCATTATTGGTAGAAAAAACTTTACTGAAATATTCCGAAAAAGCTTCCGCTTTTTTCGGTATCATTTCTTGCCAAACTTAACGGATTTTCTTGTATCAAAAGTGATGGTATTCCATCACTTCTCTGAGTTCGCCTCTTTATATACGAGAATAACCGTTTTGGACTATGTTTGCAATCCCTAACCAATTGTTTTTCGTATGACCGTCTAGTCTTACTAATTAACGCTTTACAATTATTTCTAATCTTACAATAACTAGATCTGTACTGTTCTAAGCCAGTAGAGATGAACATGTTCCAGTGTTTTTTTCTACGCCTAAGAAGTTTCTTAACTTCTTTATTTATCCACGGTGGACTATTGTTCGGTCTACGTGGTACCAAGTATGGTATGAACGGGGACACGACTGCACTAAACTTGCCTTTAAATATAGACCACGCCTCTTCAAACTGATGAGATAGTATCTACTGACCAATCTATCTTAGCAACACACTCCTGAATGGCTGATATGTTAGCTCTCCATATGTTTGGGCGAGGCTTAATCTGATCGTATATCATGTCACTAGCTCTAAACGTGAACGATAAAACAGCGTAATCGCTATTCATTTACAGGGGAAGATCATTTAGGTTGGCAATATCCTCAGTCTCGTGGGTATTTAACAAGTCCAACATAGAACCATGGTTTACACCAAAACGTGTAGGTTTGGACACATGCTGTACTAATTCATGTTCCATTACTGTTACCAGGATCCTGCTATTAAATGAGTTTGTAGATCCTTTCGTGGTCATCTCAGTCCAACTAATGTCAGGTGCATTAAAGTCTCCTAATATCAAGCATCTGTTATTTGCACTCCATAGCCGAATGTGCTCTAAAATAAAGTCATCAGCTAAGCAGATTGGGCTGCGATAGATGACACCGAGTACAAATGTACAACATCCGACAGTGAGTTCACAGCTAATGACTTCACTAGTTTCACTATCATGGGATTCGCAGACGGAGGAGCGGATATTTATACTATTGGCTATGTATAGAAAAACGCCACCTTTCCTGCATCTATGTCTATCACTTCTTAAACAATGATATCCGGATAATTCTGGGGTGATATCGAAGTCATGGACTAACCACGTTTCCGTCACAGCTACAATGAGTGGCCTTAATTTGTCCACTAATGTTCCTAGCTCGTAGAATTTATGTTTTAGACTACGGGCGTTGGCATATAAAACTCCTAGGGGGAACGACCTAACCTAAGGATCTGGATCGTTAGACTCTGGCAATTTACTCACAATAATATTCGATGATATTAAATTCCTCTCAGTCGCACTAGGATGATGATCTGCCGTTCAATCAGAGTGTGATAATGCATTGAGTGACTCAGACTGTGAGTTCCTCAATGGCTTGTCAACCAAGTGTGCTTTATTATTAGCTTTTTTTCCTTTTCTTTTCCTCTTTACTGCGGTCCATTTTTGGTCATTCAGGACAGCTGCATTGGGACTATTGGGGACGGTGACGGTTTTATCCGGGTCCTCAATTTCTACTAAAGATGCATGATTACTCATGTCAATACCATGTGGTGATTTACTCCTCCTTTGTTGTAACGGAAGTTTCACTTTGTCATTAATTAGAGTAGTTTGTTCATCGCGTTATGTAACAGCACTTACAACACTGACACAGTCTTCACTGTCAGTGCTTGCGTTACTAACGCACCCACTATCTTTCTTTTTACAGGCTAGAGCCAATAGGCTCATAGCCTCTTGGATTAATGTCGTCTTGTTAGTACAGCAGAACATACAAAGCCAGTGCGAGTTAGGCTTAGAACATCTTTTGTATGCAGCTGGACTGAGACGGGTACACATCTTGTGGAACCATTTTTTGCATTCATCGCACTGCATCCCTTCATCTACGGGGAATAAACAGTTCGGCTGTCCACATTTGAATGAACTACCAACCATTGTAATCAGATTAGGTTTAAAACACAATATGATCACAATAATAGCACAAGCGTCAGAGTATATGCAAAAGAAGGAACCACGAGACAAAGTTTTCAATAAAATTTCAAACCTTAACTGAATTAATTCAAGTTAAAGTAGACCAAGAATGCTTCTGATACAACAAATACACAAAAGCAACGATAATCACAACAAGTATGAAAGTCACTGCCCTTTTTGAAACGCGCGCAGAAAGTGTTAATACTCTGCCAGTGGCATTATGCCACTAATTTATACATGAATATGGACCACTGCAGTAATGGTATCTCACTTACTGTCATCTGTTGTGACGTGGTTTGTTGGCTATTGCTAACGTAGACTAGGTATATAATAACCTTGGTCTCAGTTCATGGAGCTTTTGACTGTTAGTATCGACCGTTTAATTGGACAAAGCCTATTTTATTGAACTACTCGTGAATGCTGTACTAATCATTGAAGACTGAGTAATGTATTTTGAATTAAGTTTCAATTCACACATTACTTTCTGGAACCGCAAAACTCTATGTAACTATTTACCTATGATTTCTTCCAGACCTTATAATTATTGTGCCAATTCTAAATTTAGGTCTTCCTAGTTAGTTGTGAAGTGGCACCTTACACTCTATGTAATAAAGTGTAAACTAAACATTTCAGTCTTACTACTTAACCGGGCTATCGACTGTTTATACCCAGATGATCAACGTTTCCCAAGAAAATCATTCACTGAAGGTAAAGGAAGTAAGGTTCTGTATCAATGGATATCATAAACCCTTGGTTAAACAAGACAGTAACTAATCAACATGTATCTTAGCTGTTTATACTAACCAATCTCCTTCATGCTATGTCACTAAATTGTGATCTGAGTAACCAATGTGTTTGGCTCACTAGTCAATTCTGTTTTTTTAAAACCTGCTCGTAGTATGATCAAAAAGTAAACGATTTCAGCCATGCAATGTTTGTTAACTTCTTCGAATTGGAAAGGAGCCTGAAAGTAGTTTGCGTAATGATTATCAGCTTGAGGTTGTTTCTTCAAACACAATTATCCATAACTATTGTATTTAGGAGCATTTTGACACTGCTTTTCATAATCGCTGTTCATGTAAGATTTATAGAGAACCAGGTATTATTTTCACGAAACAATTGCATGGACTCCAGATAAATGGCAGGTATACAACTGGTTTTGTCTTCAGCGTCTACATTAAAACAAAGAAGTTGATCACACTTATTAGTGTTATCGGTTTAGTGTATATTAAAAACTGTTGATGGAAATACTTAAGAATCGTCTAGTCATGTTACTAATGGTGGTACTAATAGTTTCGGCTGTACCCATATATTGAAAATGAAAATTACAGGATAACATAATGAACTTGTAAGTATCAATTCCAGAGCCGAACATGATAGTTTCAAGTAAATTCGTCACATTTTAATTAGTAGAAAATCGTACTTTTGATGTTTCTTGATTTAATAAAGGTCAGTTTTTATATACTCTGAAGAAGTGACTTACATTGAGTCACAAAACGCCAGAAATACTTTTCTACAACTATATATATATATATATATATATATATATATATATATATATATATAACAGGTAAGCAGTTCATTTGGCAAAATACAAGTACAATGTGGATACACACAATTGTTATTGCGCTTCCGAAAATACTTAATTTACAGATATTACGGAGGAAATGAAGTTATAGATGCTATTGAGACTCTAGCACAATCCAGATTATTAGATCTCTTCGGTCTCAAGACTCCTGGAGCAGCACTTGGTGATGCTGAATGGGGTGTTAATGTTCAACCGTATAGTGGATCCCCAGCAAATTTCGCTGTATATACCGGTCTACTTAATCCTCATGACAGGTTAATGGGCCTTCATTTACCTGACGGTGGTCACCTTACACATGGTTTCCAGACTTTGTCAAAAAAGATAAGTGCCACATCCATTTTTTTCGAATCTATCCCCTATCGTCTAGATGTAAGTTTCACTACTTGTGTTTGCAGTTTAATTTAACAACGGTTTTTAGCTTTTTTTACTGTGTACTCAGGATAGGTAATCATAATGTTGCTGTGTACATATTTTTATTAGACTGTCGTAATCCTTGTTGTATTTATTCCAGGTTTGTCAGTCTTGTTTCAGCACTGTAGACAATTGTGGCATCAAAGCTTGAAGTCACTAATTTCTAGTCTGAGCCATGTTGGTAGATGCAGACTATTTGGTTGGGGTCCGCGTGACTATCGTAACCATTGGTTGGAGACTAGGTGATATGGCTCAGAATTGATCTCAATGGCGTAGGTGTATACACTGTTTATCTTCCCTTAAACCTTGAGATTAAAATTGCTCTATATCTGCCTTCCTATACTATATCCTTATCTACAACCTTTCTTTTATATATTATCACCATAGAATTAACTACTTCTATGAATCCGGTGTTCATGTTGTTGTGCTAACGAGGTATGACAACTTGGACCGATGCATAAATGTGCCTGGTCCTACGTTGTAGCGGACTGACTGACTGTAGAAAATTTGCATCGAGTTATGAAAATGTAATGCTTATGGATTTCGCGATCCCTACACGTCACAAGATAAACTACAAATCTCTTTATAATCATATTTTAGGTCGCACATGTATTTATTGTCCACATTTGTAACGGCACTACTCATTCTGGACATACAATAAACTCATTTCCTGCTAGATTGTAGATACGAGATAAATTTATGTATAAAGGTGAAGTTGACTGTTTTCAACCGGATTTCAGTCACACCACGTGTTTACTGTCCATTTGAATGCCTTAGTTTTCAAAAGTTTGTTATACCTAATTGCTAGACCTATATAAGTTCCCACTATCTGTTTGCTTTTCTTGGTCAATGTATTTTAACAAGTAAATAAAAATGTCACATTTCCGGGATTTTCATATTTTTAGTTCCTATTATCAGTTCACCACATTATTTACGCTCAATGTAAATAGTGAGTCAATTATTTGTTTACGTTGGTTTTGTAGATTCATTAGTTGATTATCGAGTTGATAGTTTAAATAATTAAGTGGTAAATAATATAGTATCCAGACAAGTCAATAACCAAGTGAAAACTAAGATCTGGGTCCTTTGCCCAGTTAGTCATTTATTACTCGTATATTTTTGTAACGGTTTAATATTTTAGTAATCCTGAAAACTTGAAAATTATTATTCCATCTAAAATTGATTTTCATAGATATTTGATGCCATATCTAGTTCTTGGTAGTCTAATCGTAATTTCGTTCCATTCTTTTCTCAAATGAAGTATTGGGTTGTCTGATTTGTTTGTGTAAGTTTTCATCTAACTGTTATTTGTTTTCTTCGTATTTCTCATTTTTAGAAGGAGACGGAACTGATCGATTATGATGCACTACAGCAAGATGCTCTTAATGTATTCCCAAAACTTATAATTGCTGGAATTACCGCCTATCCACGGTTGCTGGATTACAAGCGTTTTCGTCAAGTAGGTTAATGAACCAACATGGTTATCAAAAAACATTACTAACGAACTGTTAATTTGCATCTTCGAACAGAAAGTAAGAGTTCATAGTGAGCGTTCAAAATAACGTTTCACTGTGGTAGATTGGATAAAAAACGTCATATCTCAAGAATAAGCATAATAGTCGTGCATAATATTATGATTGAGCTTACACTTTCCGCTGAATAAAATTTGTCATATTTTCCAAAGTTCAGGCACACTAACATGAAATAATATCGGTAAGATTAAGAGAAATTTAAACATTGTGTTGGTAATATTATTGAAGTACGAATTTCCTTAATTTGCTTTATATCGTATAAAAGAAAAGACGTAATAGTCAAAAGCAAAAGTCTAACATCCTCTACAATATAAACTGCACCATCTGTGAGTCTTGTTATAAGAAACACCAATTCTCCATCAAAATTCATAATTATAAATCTTTTATTTGGCGAAATGATTGTCTATGTATCCTTCGTGAAGGCACATATCTAGACATTTAAACTTGAATTCTTTAGTGAAAGTATAGAAGTTTTAATCCATGAATCTATATATCGTAAATGAGTCAAAGATTGGAAATTTCCTTAAGCATTTCTAAAACCCTTGTATTCTCGTCACTTGAGGATTTTTGCAGCAAATACTGGATACTTGTTGTGACTGCGGAAAACCGATACTTTCTACTTGTTGCCACGGAGCAAATAATCATACGGTTCTATTGTAGAAAGAAAGAAGGATTTCATATGGGGATTTATTAATATTATAAAATAAACCCGTAACAGATACAACTACTAATGGATTTAAATTAGTCAGTAACTAAGTGCATGTAAACAATTTACAAACTTTATTGGTTTAACTTAATTAACCTACAATATAATAAATTACTGAGATGGATATGTGGTTGTTACTAGTAGTAACTAACATACACCACCAAAGACCCATTTTCATCAGCCAATGAAAGGAGTTTCCAGTCACAATGGAATGCTGTTATGGTTTGGTGTATTTTTAGAACGACAACCCCTACTCGACAAACCGAGTAATTAAGAAAAATAGATGGATGGCATAGTTTACAGATTGGAAATCAAAGTTGTACAAACCACACAATCAGTCGCCTGTATACACTTCGTAAGTTTGTCTGTATCAGTAGCATGACCATAGTTATAACGACGATATTTAGTTATCAAAATAAAATAACCTCCGAAGCCAGTGACAGTTAAATTAACCCATAGTACATCAAAAGGAAACTTTTTTAAACAGTTGCTTATAGTTCGGGTTTATTCATTAATAAAAAAGTTTACAAATGTCTGTTTCATTATGTGTTGATCCCTGCTGTAGTGTATATATATATATATATATATATATATATATATATATATATATATATATAGTTATCATTGTCATTCCAATCTTTTACATTTAATTGTGTCAATCGTTCCACATCATTTATTATCTCAATGCTAAAATCCAAATACAGTTTGGTTGTAAGCAGCTGACGAGAAACCACGAAATATAGTTAATTCATATTATTCTGCATCAATATTTGTTCTGGCTCAATTTAAATTCATAAAGGGAACCAATTGCATGAAATCCATTAGTGCGCTAAAAATCAAACGTACCGATAACGAACAAAATTCTCAGAATTCAGTGTTCACTGGATCAATTTGGTTCAAAACGTTTTATTTGGGATATAAATAATGGTCCGCACGTATCAGGACATTTTCAGTTTGTCACGTTTTACATCAAAACTTATTATGATTGTTATTAGATTGTAGAGCCAAATGTTTGTCGAATCGAAACATTTTCTAAGTATACTATTTCTGTAATTTCAAAGATGTATGGTGTCAACATAGACTTCGTTTTTATTCGTGTTCCTAGATCTGTGATTCAATTGGAGCTGTATTACTAGCTGATATGTCCCATATTTCAGGTTTAGTTGCTGCAAAAGTTGTCCCATCGCCATTTGAATATGCAGATGTTGTGAGTTCTACAACACATAAAACTTTACGTGGACCGCGCTCTGGAATCATTTTTTATCGCAAAAAAGAAAGACCTATGGAGAGACCTAAAGTAAATTGTGGCATTCCTGTTGATCAGTTGGAAACAAGAATAAATAATGCAGTTTTTCCTGGTCTTCAAGGTGGACCACATGAAAATACAATAGCTGCTATTGCTGCTATGGCGTTTGAGGTAACGTTATGTTGTGATATGTAGCTTTTTGGTTAAATTTGTTTTTCTTTTCATTCCCCTAAAATGTAAATCATTTCCCATAAATAGATGTACATGTTCATTTTCCAAACACTATAAGAATCAACACTGTTTAGACTAACACAACCAACACTGTGACTTGCGTGTATTTTCGGTATCCATAATAAACTGTCTATGTAATCTTTTTAATGATCAATAGTAGTGTCATTATTTATAATTAAGTAATCATAGTTTAGTTGTTAATAACAATTTAATTAGTAATTAAAATAATTCGCTGTGTACATTTACATTTTATCTAGGCAAGTAAACCTGAATTTCAAGATTATGCTCGTCAAGTTTTAGCAAATGCTCAAGCTTTGGCTAATGCTCTTACATCACTCGGTATCCGCCTTGTGACAGGTGGCACTGATGTCCATTTCATTCTTATTGATTTATCTAAATCACCTGGTAAACCAAAATTAGGTCGGGGAGATGGAGCACGAGTTCAAATGATTGGTGATCTTGTTGGTATTGTTCTAAACAAAAATACAGTTGTTGGTGATTCTAGTGCACAGCAGCCGTCTGGTTTAAGAATTGGTAAAATACTTAATTTTAGCTTCCTATATGCTTTTATTTTTTATTCAATTCTAATTCAGTTAAAGAATCCTTTGCTCTTATTAATTTATCTAAGCCGTGTTATCATGTTATTTTAACTACCTTGGAATAATTAACGAAATAACCATGAACATTCATATCTACGTACTAAAAGTTCGAATTTATATGGTCTGATCAATTCTCCTTTACAACAGTTTGATAATTTCTTACATGTAAAACCCTATACTTGAATTATTCATGGAATTCAAGTTGGATGGGATTTAAAAGAATGGAGATGTTTCAGCGAAGGAAGTTTTATTTTCGATAATATTATTTTCCAAAGCTGTACAATCACATTTATAGGTGGCTCCTTACGCTTAGTAGTCTAGAACAAAATAATGGCGTTATAAAATGATCAAAGGCGTTCACACACTTATTCGAGTATCGAATGTAAAAGTTTATAGAAACGAAGTTACTAAAGATTATCGGAAGATTTTAAGTATTGAATATAATAATTAATAAATGGGAGAGTATCATTTCAAAGTAATTGAAGTTATCGAAAGTTTTCAATCATTAAATAAAATTAGCGTTGCATCATTTAACCAAACATCAAGAAATGAGGTCATGCAATAGTTTCGGAAGTAATAGAAATTAATTATAAAATAAATGCAAAAGACAGTTGTCTATTTTACAATGGAGAACGTAAAACGCTAATAATTTGCACTTACGACTTGAAAGATTTGAAAGGGTTTTAAGACTCGAATAATAAGTAATTGAATATGGCCCTTTTGTATACAGAGGTGGGGTTTAAAATATTAAATTGCTATAACTTCAGCTGTGCACACATTCTTCGTGCGAACCATCTTCGGGCAAGTTCTTACATTGTAGGTGAACTTGAACGGCGATTCACGTGATGGCGTGTAACCGATTTTGACCATGTGGTAAAGGATCGGGCTCGTGATTGATTTGCATTCCCTTGTAGATAGTCCTCGGACATTTGTTTACCAAGCACATGCTTTGTACGGCCAATGCAACCTCGTCCACATAGCCAAGTAAAATGAATAGTCCACATGTAGGTAACCTAATTCGACATTCTAATTTCGATTCTTCCCTGAGTGGGTTTCTTACTGGAGAAAATTTCGCAGCTCCAATGAATCAGCCGTCTTTCTCAGAGGTCTAACGTGTTCCTCAGTATCTCAGCAGCTGCATCTCCCCTGAATTCTGTTTTCATAACACTTTGGGACTGTGGGAGTACTTTCGACTTAGCGTTTTGGTTTCTGTCAAAGAAGCATAAGTTTCAGTTAAATGATATAGTTGAAAAGAAAATTTTCGCTGAAATATCGTCATTCTTTTTAATGAATCAGTAGCTTTCTTTTATTGTTCTTAGTGAGATTATTTGATTTGGACTTTCACTAAAATTTGATTGAACTGTTTAAAATACATACGACACTTAGATAATGAAAGATATTAGATTCAATTTGTGCATATAAATAGTGAGACGACTTCAAAATAAAAATAATCTTGATATTCATTTACGAGTGTGTCTTAAAGTTATTCTTTTGATCTTGAAGATGAAAATACATATATTAGGTCAACGATCACAGAAGAATTCATTTTGTTTTCCCTATGAGTTATCTATAGTCCAAAAAATGGAGACATTGTTAAAATAAATGCGACTGTAATAGTACACTTCTCCATTAAAATATATTTGCATTTATCTTTATGTATGGTGTTTACCAAAGTCAGCAGGAATTGAGTCAAGTTAAATGATGTAATTTATCATCCGTAATGTGTCAGTTTAAGTTGTAATAGAGAGACTTAGTGTGTTTGGAATTGTGCTGTCACTTACTGGGATTGATGTGGAGTTTGTCCGTAGTGACGATTCCTCAAGAAAATTAAATTAGTAGTGTTAAGGTCCTCGAATAAACGCATAACAGGGAAATAAACTGCGAAATATTTTTTAAATAAATGTGCACACTTAAGTACAAAATATTTTGACAAATAAAAACTATGATTAGCAATTCAAGCCACAGTTGTAAACTACTTTTCTTTGTTGTTAACTAATTAAGTAATAAAATCAATTTTCTAGGTATTATGCCTAAATCTTATCTATCATGCCAGACAGGTTAAAATAGGAGTTAAATGTTAGTTTTAATCTCTCACTTGTCATTAATTATCAGGTTGTAACTTTCGTCCATTCAGTGTGTTGGAACTTGTTCATAGATGTGAGGAAACAAAAGTCAATCTTTCTTTATGAGGCATGTTTGTTTTTTAAGTGTGGGTTTCCCACCGTGTTTTCCTCTATTACGATTTCCTTGACCATTTATTTCCAAGACTTACGAGCTCTTCTGTAGTTTTTGGACTTTGTTCCACACAGTGTTTCGACTTATTTACTCTTACTGATAGCCATCTCTGTAATCTTGCATATACTGCATTGTATCCATTACATGTGACTTCGTAAACATCGTTTGATTATCCATTTCTTGCTATTCTATTCTTGGCGTTAATACTGAACATAGTGCTTGACAAGTCTTAAATATCGACGACAAAATAATGTCGTTTACAATACTAAGGGTAATAAATGTTTCCTTTTATATAAACATGATTAATTACATTCTAGAACGACAACTCGTCCAAATCTATATTTAGACTGGACTGTAATATTGTAAAGCAGTCAGCTCTCAACAACTGGATTGAAATCCTGCTTCACCTTCATAGGTTTGGTCAACCTAGTAGCAAAATTAACCTTCGAAACTTCCATCTCAGAGCTATTTAAATAACTGCGTTAATTAGTTACATGAGAATTCAAGTTAGAATGTGAAGTTGCTGTCGCTTGACATATGCTAAATAACGTTAATGATTTTGTGTTCCGCTGCACTATATGTGTGGATAAAATGAGCAGATTTATTTGGGGTTTTGTTTATCATTCATACCTTTTCATATTTAATTGAATACCAGGCGTTTAGTCGTACCATACTTTGAAAAATATTGAATTGGTGAATTATTTATTTCTAGTTTTGGTGTTAATATTCGAGTACATCCTCTGAATTCATTGGAAATGGAGGTTGTTGGCAGACGTTTCGTATACATATGATATATTTCATGATAGTTATTTTAATTTCTTTTCATTCTCTAGGTACGCCAGCGTTAACTACTCGTGGGTTTAAAGAAAAAGATTTTGAAAAAGCTGCTTCATTTATTGACGAATTACTTGACCTGACAGTTGTGGTTAAGTCTGTCTCAAGTAAGATTTTCTTTGAGTTACTCTTTACAACATAAATATGCCAGTGTTCGGTGAATCTCTAAAAGGATCTTAATGATCTGTGAAACTAGTTTTTAAGTACAGATACCCAAGCTTCCTCCCATTTTATGTAGCTTTTGTTACTAATTCTTTTCTGAACCATTCCGATTATTTTTGACAGTTTTCACTATGTTACTGCATGTTGTAAGTTGACCACATTTTGTGTGAAGTTGTCATCTTTCATACAGATACATTGGTTTCATGATATCTTGACTTCAACTAGCCTCACTAACTTACGATAGGAATATGAATGGATCCGTTACTACAGGATGTATATAAATTCATCATAATTATCCTGAAACATAATTCTACCATCTACGTCTTGGAATAGCCACCAAAAGACCACTGCTCCTTTTGCACTACGTACTTAAATTGTGATCAGATTTTGTTTCTGTCTTTTAGGAGATTTGTAGTTGACAGACTTCTTCAGGTACATTGGTTAGGTCTTTAATTCCCATCGGCTTCTGGTACACGATACTATTCTGATGATTTTCCATATAATGTAAACGTAGACTATCGAAAGAAAAGATTATATGTATGATATAGATTTGCATAAAGACTGAAGTTAGAACTGATATCGCTATTTCATCCAACCATTCGCAAGTATGCAGTCATTAAAGCTCGCTTTTGATTACTACAAGTCTGTGTGCATATTTTTTGTTATTACTGTAATCTTATTTGTATGAAAAATATGATGTAGGGTACACAAATATGTACTACACTAAACAGATTCTTATGATCAAGTTATTTTTATGAGTTAGTATATCTTTTTGTCGTTTCAGAAAATCTTAAATCTTTTCAACTTATTCTTCAAGAAGATGAACACATAAAATCCAAGATTAAGGATTTACGTCATCGTGTTGCTGATTTTGCATCTAGTTTCCCAATTCCTGGAATGGAAGATATTTAAGTACATCTATGCACAAATAAAATCGATTTTCATCTGCTAGTTTGTATTCCAAATATTAGTTTAACACTGCTGCCCAAACTGTGATTGGATTTATTTGTGTTCTGTTAACTTTTGTATCACTTATGGTGTGACAATTAGGATTTTTTATGCTTTTTTAGATTCCTAGTTTAATATTTGACTATGTTTTATTTGTATAATCACTCAATAAATAAATTGTCTAGCCAAATTGAACTATTCCACTTTTTCATGTTTAATATAACATAACTGTGACATCATTAAGAGTGTTCATCACTTCAGAGTTTAGGTAATGACGATATTTGGCGACATTACAAATTATTACTCATTCGGTTTGGTTTTCTCGGATTTCTTTTACTAAAATAGCAATCAAATTTAGTCGGATAGCCACACTTTTACAAGCCTCTTTGTTTGTTGTAGAAAATCTAGTGTTTCAAGACACTATTGGTATCTGTCACCTCAGATAACCTTAACTTATTACCAGGTTGTTTGTAAAGATCAAGTAATTCGGATAAATAGCTTCTCAACTCCTGTACAGATGCCTTCGTACGCATCGCCTCGTTTTCCTTTACTTTGAAAATAATCAAAGTTGATTTAAAGATGCCAAAAGCTAATTGAAGCCTATTCGTGTTCTATCGAAATACGATTTCACTGATGCAATCGAATTCAATGGATGGAAATATAACGTCTTGTTCCTAGTTCAGAAAAATACATTGTGTCTCGTATTTACACTTGTTATTCTTCCTTGTATCACTCGTGTTAGTTCTTTATTTACCACAAAGGGGTTATCACCTCATTTTCATTTTCTCCTTAAATTCAATAAGTATAACTTGTCGGTTTCCCTGTATAAAAATCCCCAAAAGATAAACTGGATTTATTATTCAGAAATACTGAATATCCTTAACTAGGAAGCTTTCTTAAGTAGTGGCTTGAAATTAGATCTAGTGGCACTTTACACTAACCTCAAGTACTGCTTTCTTCAAATTGTTCCACGGTATTTCTGTAGATCTATACATAAACGAATCTACAAGGACCAAGCTACTCTGTCTCAGCTTACTGTAACATCAATTTGGTGACATTTCAGCTCTAGTAACCATAAACCAAGTGTAAGAATCATTTTTAAGGTTTTGCGCGTGGAAATGCCTCCATGTATACACTTGTAATTTATTTCTATTGGTCCCTTGAGTTGTACATTTTGTTAATATTTGATTTCATTTGAGATGGTAATATTTGTATTTTATCACAGTTTTTATCTTTCTTACGCCTTCACTGAGTTTCCATGTTTCTTCCTGAACTGCACTTATCTTGTTTTAGTTGATGATTAGTCTTGGCGGCAGCCATATTGGTTTGCTCCCGCATTGGTTGTATTGCTTGCATTGACTGAAATAGTACGTTTGTAAATTGAAGCACTCTCCCAGAATTGGAAACACTGTATTATAAAGCAACCGAATATTATCTTTCGAACGAATCTGTACGTGATCTATCCAAAAAGGATAGAATAACGTTTAGTTGGTGCGCTTGGTGAACACTATTCAAAGTCTATTTACCCACGTTTGACCTCATTTCCAATTTTTAACTATTGATAAGACTTTTGTTGTCGTACTACTATCAGTACACCTGTCTCCCCACTATCAACTTGTACTTTTACCTATTATGCTCGATAACCTATTCTATTTAATTGTGATTATTGACTCACAAATAAATGAAATGATGAATTCTATTGATGATACTATTCCTGCTCATACTAGAAGCAAGACAATTTACATTATTATTATTACCTTTATTATTATTATTATTTACCATATCGCTAACTCACCCCCTTTTATCCCCAATTTGTGTAACCTTACTTTTCAACTTATGCAGCAGCTCGCCCATGGTGGAAAATCTGTCCTATCTAAACGGTCTCCAGTCACTGTCTGATTGAAAGTGAATGCTTCCACCGATTATGAATACTGAAGTAGTCTTTCTGAAACCACGTACGCCGTTCAAGCTGGCTTCCTTCAACGTTCGCACACTAATGCATTATCAGACAACAGATAGGGCTGGCTATGTCTTTGGGAGGTCTTAATGTTGACGTTTGTTGTCTATCCGAGACCCGTATTCAAGACTCTAGTGAAGTACTACAAATCCGCTCTCCGTCTGTCGCCTCGAAAAGCTTGTTTCACGTGCGCTTATCTGGGGACCCTGTGGCATCTTCGTCCGGTCTTGCAGGCGTTGGTGTTGCACTAAGCGCTAGAGCTGAGGCAGCACTAATCGATTGGATCCCCATTAACAGTCGGTTATGTGCTGTTAGATTAGAAAGTTCCATCAAAGTGAGAAGAAATCGGCGTGAGAAACGGTGTCTTTTCGTCATCTCCGCCTATGCCCCGACAGATTGCAGCCCGGATGCAATCAAGGATGAGTTTTACCATCAGTTAACAGTTCTTCTCCAGAAAGCGCGTTCGATAGATATTGTAGTGCTAGCCGGAGACTTGAATGCTCAGGTCGGGCGTCTAGGCACAGAAGAGAGTCGTCTAGGTGGCCGATGGGGACTTGTTGGTCGCAGGACAGATAACGGGGACCGTTTGCTGCAACTGTGCACAGACCACAACCTGTTTCTGGCCAGCACTAACTTCCGGCACTCATCGCCGGTGTGCCACCTGGCGTCCTCCCTCTGCATCCCAAGCCTGGACTCAGATTGATCACATCGCGATCAGCTACCGCTGGCGTGGTTGTGTACAAGACTGCCGCTGCTTTTGGAGTACCTATCTGGAGTCTGATCATGCCCTGGACTGCGCCAATCTCAGCTTACTTTTCAGTGGCCGAAGGATTGACCACCACCAACGGATCGATGTTAGTAAACTGGCTGCAACTTCTGTTGCAAGTTAGTATCGAGCGGAGCTAGCCTCTAGGCTAGCTACCACCCCACCGAAAAGTATAGATGAGCATTGGTTGCTTCTTCACGAACGACCTTGAGTATGCGGACGATATTGTCTTACTGTGCGATAATGCTCAAGCCATGCAATCCGCGCTTAATCAGTTGGCAATCAGTGTCCGCAGGTACGGCATGTGCTTTGCACCCTCCAAGTGCAAAGTACTCCTACAAGACTGGCAGGATTCTCATCCTGTACTCACCCTGGATGGTGACCAGATTGAAGTAGTTGAGAAGCTCGTGTATCTAGGTAGCTACATAAGTGCTGGTGGTGGCGTGAGTGATGAGATTGATGCACGTATAAGGAAAGCCAGGGCGGCTTATGCCAATCTGGGCCATTTTTGGCGCCTTCGTGAGGTTAGTCTGGCTGTAAAAGGTCGGATCTACAACGCGTCGGTGAGAGCAGTTTTGCTCTATGCTTGTGAAGCCTGGCCTCTCCGAGTTGAGGATGTTAGACGTCTCTCTGTGTTCGATCATCGTTGTCTCCGAAGGATTGCTGACATCCAGTGGCAACACCATGTTAGTAATGCAGAGGTTCGGCATCGTGTGTTCGGGCGCAGAGACGATAATTCAATTGGTGTCACCATCTTGAAACACCGACTTCGGTGGCTTGGACATGTTTTACGAATGTCGTCCCAGAGACTTCCACGTCGTGCATTATTTGCCGACCCTGGGATTGGTTGGAAAAAGCGGAGAGGTGGTCAGTGTATGACATGGTGTCGTGGCATGAAAGGAAGCTGCAAAGGGCTAGCTTCTGTTGGTCCTTCACGACTCCCTGGTTGGGGTCCGAGAGATAGTGCAACACAGTGGCTAGAGACGTTATGAGATATGGCTGAGAATAGATGCCAGTGGCGATCCTGCTGCAACCTTCTTTTACTTTCTACATAAAGAATGGTTCTAACTTTCTTAACTGAAAGTCTTCTGGTTGTACATTTCAGTCCGCCTTATCTTTTCATCCCTTCTCTTCCTACTTTCATTATTTTGTGTGGCGCATATGTACCTGGTGCCCTTTTGTACCAATATCTATGTGTTTAAATAAATAATAAATACAAATAGCCTTCATTGGTCTAACATTTTCGTATGAATATTCATGTATATTAGAGTAAAGCATGATGACGATCTAATTGTAAACAATTGTTCGCTTACATGTGTTGTTCTAATTTTCACAATGGGGATGTTTAATATTCTAACATAAATAACAGGCCGATTATACTGTGCCGAACATTCTTTATGGTCTTCTGAGTTTGGAACTAGAATCTCCGGACACAAATCCTACCATTATTCTGCCTTGATTCCCACATTAACAATCGAATCCAAGTGATAAGCTCCCATATTTCGGAATTCCTTTATGTTATCAGAGGAGCTATCCTGGGTAGTGTATTTATTCCATGAATTTACTCAATTATAATTATAAGTATGATTACCTGAAGTACTGTACAATTATACTTCACGCTGACAGCCTCAAAATTAGACACGTTTCTCCGAATCTTATGCAAACTGGGGTGTAATATAAAAAGGGAGATATATACCGATTGCAGGACTGGGATCAGGTCGAGAATATGAAGCTTAACATATAAACAATAATAATAACTTATTCTCAAATAACAGTTCATTACATGAGGCATGCCAGTTCACAGGCAAATCAAATTGTTACGAAAGTTACAGTTTTCACTGCAGTAAATCACCCAGATGTGTTGATATATTAAAAAACATGAACGTAGGTGGTTTTAGTAAGAAACGTATTGTTAATATCACCGTTGGCGCGCTTTATGAAGGTTGCGTCTTAAAACGCACCTAAAGGTCGAGAGTAGATCCATATGAAATTGAGGGCATTTAGAAACAAGAACTTAATATCCCTCTGGAATATCTGAGGCAGGATGAAGTCGCCCGTTCCATATCTGTTTTCGTTGGCGTATCTCAAGGGGGCTGGAAAAGGAAAGGATGAGAGGCAGAGCAATGTTCACGGAGGAAAAGTTAAGGTATAAATACTTAGTCTATTTCTCTGTTATTAAGCAAGAGCATTCTGATATGTTAAAGAAAATAAGTGTAAACAAGGTGTGAGTAGATAAGGAAT